ATGGTAATTTCCTTTGATGTAAATACAGGAGCCTGTTTTTTATCCTAGAAAAATAGATGCACCACAACGCCTACCAGACGCACGAATCGGCAATCTGAGTTTCCAGTTGGTTTCCTGAGGTGGTTTCTTTCCGGAGCTTTAGAACCCCAGGCTTCGACGCCCTGGGGCGCGTCAGCGCACGCTCTGAAAAGAACGGTAATTGGATCAAAATCTGTGTTCAAAAATCGAACCTGGAAATACATGAAAGTATATGTCATGGTCCTAGCTGGTCCCGTGTAAAAGTTAAATTAAAATAATTCAAATAATATTCAAATCAAACAGAAAATAATCGAGGACAACCAAGCATAATCTTTTGCTGGATTATGTGATGTGTCAACTGTGTCATACTCCCCTAAGGGTGGATTTTCATGCATCCGTTTTTCCGACGAAATATGTCCGAAAAACATTCTATTCTGACATAATCGTATATAAATATGTCAAAATAGAAGACTTTTCGGACATATTTCGACGGAAAAACGGATGCATGAAACTCCGGCCTAACTCCCCCAACATCAAATTCTGGGATATTCGAGGATCATAAGTTAATAGAGAGTTGATATCTCTTTGTTATATTTTCAAAATATACCGGGTGACAACGAAATCGTTATACAAGGCGTCATTCAGTTGTCTTTAAAGTTAAAAATTTCAAAATTGGGTGGAACGGGTAAGTCATTGAGACGCACATTTTTCGTAAAAAAACAATTGAATTCCGGTTACTCCGGAATTGGTCCCAAGTCAAGAAATTTTTATGGAACCCTGTATATTTTTTTGCACAGTTGGATAAAGCTTAAAATTCCCTTTCCAATAACATATCACAACTTGCATTTGTTTCCAAGATGGCGGCGTACGTAAGAAGGTATTTTTCTTAAATTTAATATGGCGGCATTCTGACGTAACCGATAATGTTTCTGTCAAACAAACACTTTTGACAATCCATAATTTTTAGATTTGAAATGGGTTTAGATCGAATTTGAAAAAAAAAATGATTTTGCTCAAAAACAAGGGCATTTCAAAATTTCTTTGAAATGCAAATTTTCTAAAAATTTTGAATAGGAAGAGGTACTTATTAGATTCTAGAATTAAAGTGTGTCCAATGGCCCACCGAAAAATATCTACCAAAATGCATATTCATTTTTCGGTTAGGTATTCAAAGGTTACGTCAGAATACCGCCATATTGAATTTAAGAAAGTGCCTTCTCACGCCGCCATCTTAAAAACAAATTCCACTAATCATATGTCATTGAAAAGGGAATTTTAAGCTCTATCCAACTGTGTAAAAAAATTGGTGCGTACGATAAGTCCGAACTACTGACACTTTTTACCCTGACCCGTCATTAATGTCGCACTTTTTACACCATTCGTACCGTGCAGCATTCCATTTTCAGGTGGTTGCGTTCCAAAACATAACTGCACCGCACTAACGCTAACCGGTTCAGACAAATCGTACGCACCAAATATACCGGGTTCTATAAAAATTTCTTGACTTGGGTCCATTTCCGGAGTAACCGGAAGTGATATTCATTTGTTTTTTTATGAAAAGTGTGCGTCTCAATGACTTACCCGTTCCACCCGATTTTCAAATTTTTAAATTTAAAGACAACTGAATGACGCCTTGTATAACGATTTCGTTGTCACCTGGTATACTTTAACAAGTTCGAGTGACGATCGAGAACACTTAATTTCTTCTGTGAGAACAGACCGAAAATCACCTTTTCTACAATTAAAATCGACGAAAAAATTAACTCACTAGTACAGCCTGAATCGCAATCATTCCATCGAGGTCTGCGGTTGACTTCATCACTGTAAGTTGCTAATAGTGACGTCACTCGCAGACCCAGAATTTGATGGAGACAATTGACACATCACATATCCCAGCAAAATGAGATTATGCTTTTTTATCCTCGCCAAAAATTGCCTATAAGAACATAATTATCTGACACTAGTGACAGTTCGGACACTGGACCTTCGACGAATTCACGTCACGTTCGGCTTATGCCTCATCTCACTTGTGCGAAATTCGCTGTTTTTTTGTCATTGCTTCGACAAGTTGACGTTTTATGCGTGTATCAAACGTCAAATTTTCGAAGCAATGTCAAAAAAGAGCGAATTTCGCGCAAGTGAGAATTAAGCTTTAGGACGGAGCATTGCTCGCGGCGAGATTCACGTGTTCGACTTGAGCAATAGAACGCTCTCGAATCCCGCATGGAGCGCTCTTATGCTCCGTCAAATTCGATGGATCAAAGTCAAATTTTGAGCGAGAACCGTTCGCCTATCGATTTCAAAAAGTTTTCAAAAGCTTAGAACCCTAGAGCTACTCGCTCCGGTGTTAGTCGACCCCGATTTGAAACGAACAAATGCGCTGCCTTTCGTGCATTTAAATGGTGAGTTCGGGCTTGAGCACTTCGTGCGACAAGTACTTTTCGAAAGGAATAAGCGCGCAACGCCCTGGAGCTCCTTCTAGGTGTGAAACAACTAACAACGGTACGTGTGCCCTCGTTAGGATTATAATCGCTCTTGGAACACTCCCGTAGAGATCTGTGACGTTACCGCCTAGACGGGGAGCGCTCTGGGAGCAGTAAAGCCGGAAATGCTATTAAACGAAAAAAAGACGATAAATATACAGCCGCCACATGATGGCCGGTGTGGCGTTCTATGTTACCATGTCCCAAAATTCATTTGAGTTTTTTTTTTTTTTTTTTTTTTTACGGATATGCGCACTCGCAAGGAAATGTCCTTACACGCTCGAGAAGCGGCAAGTGCGCGGAAATGTCGGTGTATGTTGGTCTTGAAACGGTTCAGGTTGTAACCTGCAGGGAAAACCGTCGTAGGGAGTTTATTCCACAGCGATGCTGTTCTCCAGAGATATGAATTCTGATATAATGAGGTTCTTGGTGCCTCTAGTTTGACAGTAAATTCATGGTTACCGTCTGTTTGACGGGTTCGCCTGGTAGGTGCTACTCTCGGTGGAATCATACGTGCCAACTCTTCAGAGCATTTTCCGTGATAGTACCTGTAGAAGAGAGATAAATCGCCCACCGTTCTGCGATGTTCGAGACCATCCAAGTTACGAGTAAGTGCGGGGTCATTGATCAGCTTGATAGCTCGTTTTTGCACGGTATTCAAAAGCATTAAGGTATGTTTGGGTGCTGCATTCCATATATGTGAGCAGTACTCCATAGTTGGTCGAATCTGGGCTTTGTAGAGTGTCAGCAATTGGCTTGGTGTGTACAGATGTCTTGTACGAAATAGCACCCCCAGCTTTTGGGAGGCCCTTTTAGCAATATCTGCCACGTGACTGTGCCAAGACATGTTGGTCTCTGCAGTAACCCCCAAGATGTTCAACTGACTCTGTAATGTGACAGCACTTCCAGATAGCATGATGTTTGGCTCACCGGTGCTGGTCTTTTTTGAAAACAGAGCTGCTTGGGTTTTCTGCGCGTTGAACTGTACAAGGTTTTTGTTACCCCAGTCCTCTATTATCTCCAGGTCGTTATTTATCTGCGATATTTGAGTTAGTCTAAGATGATGGAATTCACGTGTGGAAAGACCTGTCGGTGGTATGAGTGAGGAGACTACATTGCCATCGTCTGCAAAGCAATAAAGTGGATTTACTGTTTTATCTATGAGGTCATTTATGTAAATCAGAAAAAGAGTTGGCGAAAGGATTGCTCCCTGTGGCACACCAGCATTTATTTGGTAAGAGTTGGAGTTCTGGCCATCCAGTGCAACATAAATGGATCTGTCCTTTAGGTAACTTTCAAACCAAGTGCAAAGTTTCGGCGATAATCCCATTGCTTTGAGCTTGTTGAGCAGATTTTCATGCCAAACTTTGTCGAATGCTTTAGATATATCTAAGGCAATTGTTCTTGTTTCACCCCGCAACTCAATCGCTTTTTGCCATAAGTGAGTGACGTATGTAAGTAAATCGCCAGTTGACCTATATTTTCGAAATCCGTATTGCTTATCGTTGATAATTTTGTACTTTTCCAAGTACTTGGTTAGGTGATTGTTCACAACTCTTTCCATTACTTTTGATATCACCGGAAGTAGAGCAAATTGGTCTATAGTTTAACGGATCTGTCTTTTTTCCTTTCTTTGGAATGGGTTGTACTGCGGCAGACTTCCATGATGATGGATATACTCCTTGCCTGTAAGACAAATTGAATAATTTTGCGAAAGTTGGGGTGAGTTCGTTGGCGCAATTTTTGAGTACTATTGCGGGAATGCCATCCGGACCCATTGCTTTGTTTGTATCCAGCTTTTTTAGGGATTTTCGTATTTCTCTGTGATAAAAGGGTACCTCTGGCATACTATGGGAAACCCTTTCAATGAACGGTGGAGTTTTTCCGTTTGGCACTGTTAGGTTGGAGTTGGAGGAAAACATTTGGAGTATCCCAGTCACTGATCTCAGTCCCAAATCGTATTTGATTCGTAATAAAGTTCAGTTCAGATCGATCTAAACGGAAAAAGTAGGTTCAATTCGATAATTGTTAACTGTCACTTGTCAGTTGTTCTTGGTGTAGAGAGTGAACCGGCAATATTTTTCGTTTACGTCTTGTGATCTAGAGTGGATTTGGATCATTTTTTTCTTTTTGGTTGGGGTACACTGATCTAACTAAAATCGAACCCGGTCTGGTTCGCTTAAATTGAACCAGATAGATTTGATCTGCTCAATTGAATGCAGCTCCAGTTGGCCCCAGTGCTCCATCCTAAAGTTTTTTTTTTAATAACTGACATTGACATTATTATTTAATAATATTTTAGCCGCTTTCCAGCTGCTTACTCGTATCAGTCGTATCACCAATCTAATATACCTACCAATCAGTATACTAGAGTGAGGTTCGGGAACTTACCATTCCGAGCGCGATCCTCCAACAACGGAAGATCTTTGAACGTACCTCTGTCAGCTACCCTACCAATCTGTCATAAATTGGTCATAACTGCCATTAAAATTATTATCATTTATCAAAATAACCTCACCGGCTCACCGTCTAATCTAGAGAAAATAGTAAAAATCTTTCTTCAAGTAATTATATTCTTAATTGTTGGTGATTTGAATCGAAATAATCATGTTTAGTGTGTTTAATAAGAAGGTAAGATAGGGTCTATTATCAGTATCATGATTTCTAAGCATACCCAGTATTAGGGCTGTACCCAATATTTATAATTTCCAATGGCCCCTTATTGGGCTCCTTTCAAGGCCCTTTGCCTAGCTACATTCAAGCTTTTTACTCATTATTTAAGTTTTGGGTGATAATAGTTCCTGCCACTGTTTCAGAATTAATAGCTAGTTATTTACTTCAAACTCACCAGTATCGACTATCAACTACATTCGGAATTGTGAAATAGATTCAGCTACCAACACCAAAGTCTAATACGATTTCTAAAACAATAGATGTAACCCTATTAACCTTTTCTATACTAGTGCCCTATATATACATATATCAGTACGCCGGCAGTGAAATAAAAAAACAGCAATTGCTCAGGAGCTCTGGTTTTTATCTGTATACATAATAATTTGAATTCCATGCTGGGGTCAAATATGAGTTTGGACAAGACTACGAATTCGATGTAACTGCACTGGATAAGAGTGACGTATTTATACGACTGAATATTATTATTGTTATTATTACAGTAACAGCTCGGAAAGCGGTTATGAGTCATGACTGATGAAACTGTTGTTTTAATTTCCGTGGTTCTTTTTTGGCTTTTCATATTCAGCTCGTTTTTCACAGTCTGAAATAAATGTTTACACTAGTCAGTACTTCCCGTAGATTATCTAGTCTGTTTTTGAATGAGTTAATACTTGGAGTGCTCCCAGTGTTTTGCGATAATTCATTCCAATGATAGACAATAATTCTATTTGTCAAAAAGCCTTCTTGGGGTAGTTTTGTGTTTTTCTCCTTTTCCAGTTTTTTGCTGTGGCCTTGCAGGTGTACGTTTGCATTCACACAGAGGAGGCATATAGGAGGCCTCCTATAGGCATATTTTTGGTTTGTGTGGCTGTCCAATCTATTTTTTCTATTTTTCAAATGTTTATAATGAAATAATAATTCTTTTTTCGATCTTAACCTTTTGGTAAGTTCAACTTTGACACATTTTTTGAAGTCGGGCTCATGAGCTTCCTCTCTTCCAGTTTTGTAACTTTATGAACACTTTTATATAACCATTAATGCTTAGGCATATCGTATGTGGCCATATTTCCCTCTAGCATTTGAATGTATGCTGATGATGGATCTATGTTAGATCCGAAACATGTTCAACCCCCCTTTCAACTGATTATATTTTTTATAAAATAAAGAGTGAAGATAGACTGTGTTTTACTCCAGTTCTTTAAATATAGTTTCTGCTGGTTTTTTTTTTATTTAAATAATATCTTCTTGTCATAGGTACTTGTATATTTTTTTCAATAAATATTTAAAAAAGTAATTGTCATATTTACTAGGAATCAATTTGTCTTTTCTTTGTTCTAGATACCCCAGCTAATGAAAGCAGCTACTACATTAGCTAGCACCAAAGCTAGAACCGAGATTAGAACCATTTCACTATGTAAGTACCCATTTTTTCTTTACATATAGATTTCTCAAAAGTTGAAAGTTAGAGCAATTAGAAAGACACTATCGCATCAAATACAAACTGCAAAATAACGTTTTTTTTTTTTTCAACCTTGAAAGATAGGTCAGATACCTAAAGATAGGTATAATTGCTGAAACATTGACCTTTTTTATATATGTGGGCAATCTGTAATTTGGAATTCCAGCATTATTGCGGTTTCTTTCTAATGAATAGCAAAGAAAATAGAATAACAAGTCAACTTTAATTTGTTTGCTATGTTCTTTGTGGCTTTGCCAAGTAAGTTGACTATCTACCTCGCTATCTACGTATGTACCTGTAGGCCTAAAACGAGACTTCTCAGATATATTTATGTTCGCCCAATCATTCTGAGGGAAAAATAAGGTATATTTCTACACTTATATAAAAAAAACATATAGGTAAGTATTGGATTTGACTGACACTTACTAAAAGCTCGTTATCTATAAACCATCCTTCCAATCTGTATTGAAGTTTTGGATCAGGCTTAGAAGTCAAAGTCAAAGTCAAAAAATGCTTTATTGTCTAAGAACAAAATTCTCGTTGACAAAGCTGTAAAAGGGGGAAAAAAAAGTATACAAAAATAATTCCAGGGCCATAGAGTACCAAGATTAAAATAATTAAAATAAAAATACAATACAAGGTCAGACTAAAACAATAAAATCATTTAAACAGTCATTAAAACAAAAGATGAAGTCACTTTAAAAATCAACATAAATATAAACATAAATCAACATAAATACAAAAACATGTTCATTCTAAAATATAAAATAAAAAATATCAAAATAACACAAACGTAAAGTCAACAAACACAGAAGTCATTAAATAAAACTACAAATTATATTCAGACAGTCACAAGAAAGCATCTTGGAAGAATTATTCTTCTGTGCTATAGTAGGCCTTTGATAATAGAAGCCTCTTAAGATGTACTCTAAATTTTTTACCAGATACTATCTGTCTCAGATGCAGTGGCAGATGGTTAAAGATCTTTTTACTTTGATAGATTATTGAGTTTTTTGTTTGTGTGGAGGAAGGGATAGGAAGGTTCACATTGTGTGTTTGTCGAGTGGTATGTACAGATGAAAATTCTTGTATGTATTGCTTAAACTTTTTATGAACGAGACATGAAGTCTCTAGTAAAAAAATAGCAGGAAATGTAAGCAATTTATGACGCAAAAACAATGGTCTACATGAGTCTCGTAATCCTATCTCAAACATATACCTTACCGCCCTCTTTTGCAGAAGATCTTGACCTGATAGAGCAATTGTAATTCACTTCGGGAATCCATTCTTGATCCGTTTCAAATCGGAGGCTTGTAACAGGAAGTCCTTCACGCTGATCAATTCTGAGACAGTGCATTGAGCTGCGTATGGTCGCCCGGATAAGGCATCTGCATTGTTATGCACTCGAACAATGTTTGCTTTGAAAATTGTACTCTTATAAGTTGTCGAACCATCTTGCCACCTGTCTTTCTGGTTCTTTCATATTTAAAGGTCATTTATGTGATGCATCGTGTGATGTTATGAAAAATTCTTGTCCATGCAGGTACTTGTGGAAATGATCTACCGATCTGACTATTGCTAACGTTTTCTTCGAGGGGTCAACCACTAAGTATGCTCACAAACAATACATACAATGATTTCCATATGTGGCAATCACTGATCGATTGATCCCATGCATTCCCAAGAATTGCGACTGATTGCCAATGATTGTCATGTATTTTTGTATGATTACCAGGTGATTTTTTGGTGATTTCCATATGATTCCTAATTGATTAGCTGATTTCCTCGCTGATTTGCTTAAAGCAATCATTTGATGCTCATCTGATTTTATCACAAAAATTGTTAAGCTTCGCATTCATAGGACCAAAATACTGTACTAGCCGGATCTATTATAAGAATTGAGTAGTTGGACATTTAAAAAAGTTACGTCTTGTTTTTCAGTTATTACCAAACATGAAATAACTATACCTATATGTCCACTTAGTGCGATATCGGACGATATTTCCTTACAGGGTGATGCAAGAAGAAATGCATTAGTGAAAATGCTAATATGCATTAGTTGAAAATATTTTTGAATATACACAGTGCTCCGTTTATGGGGTATGCGACAGAACTTTGTTATTTTATATGGAACACCCAGTTGTATGTGATTTTTAGCAGATTTCATGTAATATACCCTATACCTAAGTCGACACCTTAGTTCAACTGTTTTGGAAATACTGACAGTTGAAAATTGACTTTTTGCAGCTTTGACAGGCTGTAAAACCTAAACAGTTAATTTTAGAGGAAAACCGATTTTATATTCCCATTTACCAAAACTATCATTTGACACCAACTTTGAATTTAACCAGATAATAAATTTACCTGGAATTTTCAATCATGGATTAAATTCAAAGTTTATAAAAATCTAAGATAGGTATGTAAAATCGGTTTTGGTCCAAAATTAACCGTTTAGGTTTTACAGCCCGTCAAAGTTGCAAAAAGTCAATTTACAATTGTAAATATTTCCAAAACAGTTGCACTTAGGTATAGAGTAGATCACATGATATCTGTTGAATTTTACGTAGAATCTAAATATGTAATCAGTAATCACATACAGGGTGTTCCATTTAAAAAACAATGTTCTGTCGCATACCCCATAAACGGACTACCCTGTATATTCCAAAATATTTCCACAACTTTGTAATTTAATTTTTTTTCTTGCATCACCCTGTAAGGAGATATCGTCCGATATCGCATTAAGTGGACACCCTGTATAATGGCATCCATTTTAAAGGCGCGTTTCACTGATTTTGAATTTTTTCAGTTTAGAAGTGCCTGTAGAAAAATTATTCAACCTCATAAATATTTTTTTTGGAAAATATCCCTAAATAGCTAGGTACTCCCTCCTTTAAGACATTTGGCTCAAATAACGTATTTGAATTTTAGTGAAAGGCTCCATTTCGTAACCATATTGAAAACGTGAAAAATCAACATTTAAAAATATAGGGCATCTTATTTTGGAGAGTGTTAATCATTATTATTAAAACTTTATTTTGTTTACAGCTGCGACATCTTACACTCCCAAAATTCAACAGCCTGCACCAAATTTTTCCGGCATGGCAGTAGTTAATTCAGCCATACAGAAAATTCAGCTTGCTGATTACAAGGGAAAATATGTCGTCTTGGTTTTTTATCCTCTAGATTTGTGAGTACCTACATATTTATTGTATATCAGCTTAAAGGATTCAATTTTATGTGGCGAGAAATTATATACATAATGTTATGAATTTGAAATCGAGTCAGATCAACAATAAATACGCGGTTAATTAATTTTAGTACGTTTGTTTGCCCTACCGAGTTAATTGCCCTAGACGAAAGAATCGACGATTTCAAGAAGCTGAATGCGGAAGTCATTGGATGTTCTATTGATTCGCCTTACACGCACTTGGGATGGATGAATACTGACCGATCCGTAAGTTTAATTTGAATATCATCAAAACATATTTGGTAAATAATTGTAGTTTGGGTAGTTGGCCTTTTATCATAACAGGTTATAAAATATTTTAGTTTTTGAATGATTTTCTAAAGTTTATTATTTTTGTGTCACTCCTATACTTTCAAGTGCGGTTTCTGGGAATAAGTTTCCTCTTTCAGGCCAACTGTTTGATGCCTCTTTTTCAATGTGTGGTTGCGTTAGCTCATTTCTGCTTTGTCAGGCTAAGTTTAATATAGTGCAGTTTTTATCCGCTATCACAATAGCTTTATGTATAGAAAAATGTCTGCTTTGGTGTTAAATAACTCAGTAAGGCTTTTCGAGCTGATTTTGCCATAACTCTTCCATATTAATCATTCAATTGTTCCATCGCTGGATGGAGGTGTTTATGACATTTATGTTTTGTGGCTATTGTTCTAGCTTTATTTTGCTAGTTAACAATGTCAGTGTGAGACCACTCCATATCTCCGAAAGAGTAGATAAGTGAGGACTGGCGTAGCGTATGCATTCGATGCTTTTTTTAGTTTTAGTTTAAATCGGCTCGATAACCCGACTTCTAGACTGATTCGCTCGCTTTCTAAAGGAATATATGGCTTGGCTTCCTTTATAACTTCAGTGCACGTGCCAAGAGTAAGCTCGCATTCAGTGAGCTTGTTTTCCAAAACTGATTTATCGGTATCGCACTGTTATCGTCCCTCCAAAAGTTCCTTTTAACTAGAAAAATATCCAATCAAACAATCAACAATAGATATACGTAGGTTAGGTTCAAAGTGCACTGCCGCCACAGACCAGATCATTCCCAATTTTATCTGACTTCTCAAATTAAAAATAAACAGTTAGTTTAAGTGTAAAAAACGTCAACTTTTAAGATCAGATAAATTAAAAATGTTTTACTTTATCTTCTTTCTTCAGAAAGGTGGATTAGGTCAACTGCATTACCCTCTGCTCTCAGATATCAAAAAAGAAATTGCCCGAGATTATGGTGTGCTTTTAGAAGAGGAAGGGATCGCTCTAAGAGGCTTGTTCATCATCGATCCCAAGGGTATCTTGCGACAAATGACGATAAACGACCTCGGCATTGGCAGGTCAGTTGATGAAGCCTTGAGGCTTGTGGAGGCCCTCAGATTTGTGGAGGAACATGGCGAAGGTAAGTGTAATCATCTGTGTTAAAAAATACCATAGCATTTGCAATAAATAATAGTACATTTAGGGCTAGCGATTCACCTAAACATGTGGCTTTTAATTACTAAAGCAAAAAATTATCCCAAAAGGTTTCAATCATAAAACTAAAGATTTTGATCCGAAGCAGGGGAATTACGTAGCCTGTGCGTTAGCTTGCAGGTGGATTAGATCTCTACTAATCCACCTACAAACTAGAAAACTTTTTATGCACGTGCTACGTAGGTCAGGGTTCAAGTTAACTTAAAATCTTGCTTAAAATTTCCCTCATTACCTCCTTCACCCTGGGCCGGGGGTGACTTGCTATTGAGAAACCGGCTCTTAGGGAAGTTATTCCTATCGCTAACGAGTGTTATATAATCTTGACAGCATTATTATCTGTGGCTTCTTTGATGAACCTATTCTGGAACCACAATTTCTCTGTCATTGATTGCACTCTAACTAACCCAATCAGCGGTAGCCGGTCGCTTTTGTAAACCAGCTCTCATCAAACTTTCTCGATCTTTTCTAAGTTTTTTTTTGTCAAGATAATGCTTGCCATATAGCTGGCAGTAGTGAATCATTAATCAAATAGCGAAAATAATGTATGTAACAAATTTCCTCTTCTCCAGGGTCCCTAGAAAATATTTAAAAATTTGAAATATTGCACTTTCTTTTAGATTAAATAAGTATAACTGTTCAATTATTTCTTTTTTAGTTTGCCCTGCTAACTGGAGAAAAGGCGAGAAGACAATCAAACCAGATCCAGAAGGATCCCTTGAATATTTCTCTTCAACAGCAGAGAAACGTCAATAATTTTATATGGTTCATTGTTAAATTATTTTTATAAATAAAATTTGCTAAAAACGTTCTCTGCTTTTATGTTGAATTGACAATAGGTAAAGACTGGCTCCAAGGGTTTTGCACACGTAATGCCAACATATCTTTGAGAAAACTGCAGGCTACAAGTCTGGCGTTTGACCAGTTTCAATAAAGATAATAAGCAACTGTTTTGTCAACATTCGAAACACGTTTTGAAAGATAAAAACGTTTACCAAAATATACTTGGGATATCTATGAGACTGGCCTAACAACAGTTCACAAACCATAAAAGGAACTGAGTGAGGCAAACGCGAAACATGAATCACTGCTTGCTGCAGTATTATTACTATTGGGCATTCCATTCGTCTGTTTTATATAATTCCAAGAGTTAGTTTCAGTTTCAGGAAAATTATGTTGAAAGGTAAGGTAATTATAGAAAATAATTATAGCTTCCTTTTATTAAATTATTGCTTTTAGCTCGACTTTAAGGTAGACCAACTAGATGTTCCAGTGCAGCACATCCTTGTGGATAAATGATCAGTGGAAAACAGCCTACTATTTTTTGAACATTTCTTGGACTACGCCAAGCTAGCAGAAGATACAAATTTGGGTAATATTTGACAACCATGACAACCTCATCCAAATCGATTTAATGAATATGGCCAGAACTACTTACTGTATTAGCTTGATGTTGTATACTCACCTAAGTACTCTGGGAGTTACGGGCACCGGGCAGCACAATAATCCAAACTAGCAGGATCTTTTAAGAATTTATTGGTTGAGTAACAAGGGCCACTTATTCTACTAAAGTACTCCTACAACCTCAGCTAACGGTGACAACTATATTGACAACTATATTAATATTAATATTAATATTAATATTAATATGACGGACATAGTCCATGTCAACATTAACAACTAACTGTCTAATTAATTACAAACAGGTAACATTGCATGCCACCTAGCCCCGCTACATCAACAACAAAAACAACTATATAATACACTTACAGCAGTCATAAGGTTCATCTCCTGGATGTGGGTATTTACGGCCCCTTCAAGAATTATTTTAATTCCGCCACTGACAGTTTAATGTCCTTTGGTAGAAGAATTCCTTATTTTTTTTTCGATATTTTGGCTCCATACAAATACAAATTTACAAATACACAAACTATTGTGTATTTAGGTACACAACATTAAAAGTCCTAAAACTCGAAGAACTAATTTAATTATACTCAAAGCTAACATGAATAACATATACAGAATCCAAATAGGATTCCTGACTGAGACCCCACTTTTGTCAAAACTACAACTAAACTGTAATGTACCCGCCTAGTTATTGTAAGCTTAGCATAGGGTGCCCCTTCAGCCACTAGTTGAGGGTTGACAGTTTAGTTTTAGTTTTGACAGAAGTGGGGTCTCAGTCAGGAGTCTTATTTTGATTCTGTATATGTTATTCATGTTAGCTTTGAGTATAATTAAATTAGTTCTTCCAGTTTTAGGACTTTTAATGTTGTGTACCTAAATACACAATAGTTTGTGTATTTGTAAATTTGTATTTGTATGGAGCCAAAATGGGGTCTCTGTCAGGGATCTTGTCTTGATTCTGTAAATGTTATTCATGATCTCTTTGAATATAATTAAATAGGTTCTTTGAGTTTTAAGACTTTTAATGCTGTGTACCTGAATACACAATAGTTTGGCAAGGAGGTACAGTCATAAAAATGCAGTCATTTGTGGGCTCCATTGAACATTTTAATGTAATTGAAGGCGATCTCGAGTCCTATAGGGAGCTATGGAGCAATTATTCAAGGTAAATAATACAAAGGATGAGGACAAAGGTACCCTATTTATAACTCTGATTGGCCCAAACGCTTACAAGTGAATAAAAAGTCTAATGAGACCCCGACGTCAAAATCCTTTACGGATATGGTCGAGGTTTTACAAAAACATTTTACACCACAAATGTCAGTAATTGCTGAGAGGTATAAGTTCAATAGCAGAGGAATCAAAACCCAGATGAGTCGTAAGAGTTCGTTTTGTTTGTGGTATTCGACCCGAGTCAGTCGTAAAGAGATTATTGACAAAGGACAATTCATTGAAATTTGAGCAAGCATGTAAAGAGGCTCTAAATTATGAAATGTCAACTGTATGTACAGTCAACATTAGTCGTTCCACGAAGTAATGTACATCAAGTTAATTGAGGACAAAATGTCTTTTATATTACTAGTAAAGAGGAAATAATATAGATGCTAAAAAAGATAAAGTGGCTCAACTGGAAGAAAAGAAAAGAATAAGGAAATCGTACCATCGTTTAGTCAAGTCTTCAAAATGATCATATTTCTTTAATTAGAGAGACGCCTCGTGAACGTCTAGTTAGTACCGATGATGATGATAACAGTAAGCAAGCTACATGCATATTTCGCCCATCGCACCAGGTGTGCGGTGTGCCTAAAAATTCACTCCGACCCTGCTTCTCCACTTAGAGCCAAATAAATTTACCTATATTTAAATTGCTCTATAGAAGTTTAGGCTCGATTTTTTCATGGTTGAAAGATATTTATACTAATAAATTAGGGCCCACATTATTATTAATAAATAGATGATTATTATTGGCGTTCATGTTAGAAGTTTGAACTGACTCAGGGGCATTAAAAGCTAGAACATTTATTTTTTATTGATCTAGGTACACATGGTAATGCGGGGTTGTAACAATGTGGTGACATTTTATCTCTCTCCGAAAAGCAGAAGTGGTAAAACAATGTCTTCTGATCTATTTATCATAATCGCAGTGCCTTTTATAATCAATACAACTACATCAAAATGAATGTCCTCTACATGGTTGGACTCCAATCCCTTTTCTGCATTTCTTGATATGGTTATTATCATGAGGAAAAATTCGTTGATGTAATATGTACATAATTACAATGCCATATATGCATAAAAAGTTTAGATATTAAAATATATATATTTTTCAATAACAGGGCTGAAACATCATTTTAAAATATTTTAATTAGGTGAATAATGCACTAAAACGAACTACTTTTAAAAAATCTTTCAAATAACACACCAGTTTGTAGATTGAGCAAGTCTATTTCAATAAGTACTTTTATGCACTATGTTTGAGAAATAAGGAATACGAAAAAATTGTATCACATGATTTTTATTAGCAAAAAAATATTGAAAATAAATTTACGTACAGCTAAATATCACAGACGAGTCAACAATTATTTGGATAATACTTAAACGATTGCTCTAGGTGCTCTAAGCAACACTTCTTGCTGTTGGCCAACTTTTACGGAAGTTACCCGTTTCTTCGTTTTTCTTTTAAAGTAGCATACCCACACGAGTACTGGCGCCGCTACTAATGCCAGTGGAACCAAAAATAGAAGAGGAAATGAATTGATACCGTTTGGTTTCATATCATCATCTGGAACTTTTATAGTCACATATTTATAGTCTTTCCCATATTCGGTAACAGCCAAACAAGCGTACAATCCACTATCGATCACTTTTGCGTTAAAAATGTTCATTTTGCTGATATATGTATCGCCGATATTGTGAAAAGAGGTGGAAATATTGAGATGGCAATAGCAGATATCATCATACTCGATATCACATTTAGAACCGTAGCACTTTTTAAACCATATGACGGTCGGTGGAATTTTGCTAGTGATATTGCACTGGATTGTAAATTCCATATTCAGTTGTCCGGTTATGTTGGAGGTCAGCAAAGCTTGAACGGCTGGTGGTGGACCATCATAACTTTCTATTCCTGAAAAATAACAAAAATTGAAAACACTCTGAAAAAAAGTCCACACATACATTTCTCAAAATTCGGAAAGCGATAGGGTAGTTTAACCTTTTTGTTTGTTTTCTTTTGTGTCATTGTCTTCACTTATCTACGAACTTACGTAACAGTTGGTGACAGAAGTGAGTGAAAAAATATTCGTCTATCGTGAAAACAAGATAAACATACCGCTGAATGGAAAAAAAAATATTGAAGCAGGTGCTCGATTTATTCGAACATGCGGCCTACAAAAGAGTAAAATAAAAACATGAAGAATAGGAAAAACGGTAGAAACCAAAATAGGGTCTTCTTCCACCAGAGGTCAGAAAGAAAAGACAAATAGGACCGGCTCCAGAGAAATTTGCAAAAGCCAGAAAGCAAGCGACAAAAAGGAAGAACAGGAACAAAAATAGCAAGGCATTGAAAGGATCATCGGATTATTTTAGACCATTCGGCAAGATGTGACGGGCGATAAAGAAACAGTCAAACACGAAATAGCAACAGTCCAAGGAAAAGTCAAAGATGAAATAGGGACGGCTGGCGAAGAATTCAAAAAGACACATAGGAAGCACGGGAAGATGGAACCCTCATACAGAGGCATAAAGATCAGTGGAACGCCGACATGGTTTCCAAGGAATCTGTGGTGATGTCAAGAAATAACCCAAGACGTTGAGCCAAAATTGAGCCCACCATTAAATTCCGGATAAGCACCACCGAACTGAAGGTAGAAGTGATTGCTGATATAGTAGACTAGTTTATATTGGTTGTGGATGTCCTAGAAACCAATGAGTGGTGCAAGACAAAATTACTGGACCATTGAACCTACTAGAACATATAACCTTAACACAATAAGTGCCACACCTACTGGTTAACCACTACGAAGACTTCTTTTTGCAGAGCAGCATCAAGTTGACATTCTCTTTAATGAACTACTGAAGGATGACGTCTCAAGACAATCTAATATTCCATGGTCCCCACCGATCATGCTAGTTGCGAAAGTGTATGGCGCCACGAGTTTTGATGTGGATAAGAGAAGGCTGGATGACGTTACGGAGAAGGACAGCTATCAATCGACGCGAATCGACAATAACCTTATCGTCCCTATGAGTATGCAACTGGTTGCCAACTTTAGGACTTAATAGTTAAAATTCGCAGGTGGAACTTAATAAAGTGGATAAAGAGAGGCGATCTTCTCTTTATCCACTTTATTGACTTGACTACTTGAAGCGGCCTATATATAACGTCATGCCGTTTGAATTATGCAATGCATTTGCCACTTCTCATTTAGGAGATGTGCTCGACATACTTGGATGACTGGTATAACTAATATAGTGCACCCGTCAAAAGAAATAGAGACGTACCCAGAAAAACTCCAGGGCTGGAAGTCTGTAACGGATAGAGATCGTTATCCCTATCGAGATTGACAGCCTCGGCCGTTATTAGCTATTTATCGGCTTTATGACGTTAATAACTATTTAATGATTCATTCGCACTTTCCATGCTTTATTTTTTCATTTCCATAGCAGCATTTTGTTTCGAATACGTTATAATTAAAAGTAAATTTGCAAAAATTCTGCCTTACCCACAACTTCAATAATCACAGCTTTTTTGACAATGTCCTTCTCGATGCATCGATATGCCCCACTATCACTTCTCGCTAGTGAGCTAATCTCAAACCTGTGCCTGTTGCTACGTTTTGTCCATTCCTGCCTCTCATTGGTGTTTGTAAGATCTTTAAGGTTGCACATGACGCCTGTGTATGACAATTCACATTCCTGCAATGCAATCGTTTTCATGAATCATTATTTACCACAATGTACAAGAGCATAGTAGTTATGTATTTATTGCTGAAAATTGTTTCTTCAAATATTAATTTTATTTTTAAAATTTACAATAAAGTGTTCTATGCTAAAGCTTAGTTCAATGAAGAATGTCTGGGAGTGCATGGAAAGATATATTTAGGTTCTCCTTTACTTTTACCACTCAGATTTGATGGGCGTTCAGAAATTCTACTTGTTTCTGAAAATTCTTAATTTTGTCGAGATCCACAGAATCTAATTTAAGGATTTTTTGATTCATTATCGGTGACGTCAATCTTGCAGATTTGGACGTTTCTAGTTTCCACAGTTTCACAGAGTCTTCAACAATCACGATATCAGCGCTGAGACCAAACTTCGCGTCTACAATGCAGGTGTAATACCTACACTTACATATGTATGACTGCGAAACATGGACCAATACAGAAGACACATTAAAAGCCTAAAAAAATTTCACCAGCGATGCCTTAGATGCCTACGGATTAAATGACAAGACCGAAGAACGAATATTAGTGTTTTATATTAGTGTTTTAGAGGAGGCCGAAACAACTAGCATTGAAGCCCTTATCATTAAGCACCAACTTCGCTGGACAGGTCACCTCGTCCGCATGCCCGAAACACGGCTTCCACAACAGATTCTTCACAGTCAACTGAAAGAGGGAAGACGAAATCAAGGAGGTCAACAAAAACGCTACAAAGATGTTCTAAGGGAAAATATGGCAAAGTGCCGCATCGATACCTGCAACTGGTAGACGTCGGCAAATGATAGGCCTTCATGGCGTCGAGTAGTCCATGACGGACCACAAACTTTTGAAGAAAAACGATGCAGACACGAGACCGCAAAGAAGGGCCGCAGAAAGGAGCGAGAGAACAGAGGAAGAGAAAATGCTGCCAGAGGCTGGGTGTGCCAAGACTGTGGAACTTGTGGAAGGGTATATTGGCATCAGAAAACGCACAATCGACGTGGTATAGAATTGGAGATAATCATACTCGTTATCGAGTGATCGCCTAGGATGATGATGATTCTAGTTTTGTTAATATTTTGGTCCCACAGTTCTCCGTTTAGTAGGGATTGCCTTGTGAATTTGTATATTCCGATCTTTAATTGCTTCGTCTAGGGTTCCCTCATGCAGGATTTTCATTCCCAAATATTTGTATTTAGTAAATGGGTTTATTTCATGTTCATTATTCAATTTCAGAGTTCGTTGTTCACCTCCCATAGTCATATATTCTGTTTCAGTTAGGTTTAGTTCCCCCATAGGTCATCATAGTCCTTTGCAATTAATACTTGGTCATCTGCAAATTAAGCTTAGAGTATATAGGTTGTATTCATTGAGCGGTATTCCCATGTGTCTGCATTTGTTTTCCACCCCCTAAGCACTTGTTCTAAGTATATATTAAAAAGTATTGGTGATATGCAGCTTCGCTATGTAAGATTTTTAGTTGCTGTGAAGCATTTGGTGATTATGCTTCCCTGTTTAATCTTGGTTCTCGCATCACTAGAGCATTTTAATTGCCTCTATTACTTCTAAGTTGATATAGGTCTCTTCTAGTGCTTCCGCTTCCAATTGCTTTTTCAGTGGGAGAGTGTCATATGCTTTTTTCAGATCTACAAAGATTAAATGAAGTTCCTGCTTATACGCTAGTTTCCTTTCTATCACCTGTGTCAAACTGAATAAGTTGTCTTTGCCCTGGGGTATCAACCACTCTCATAATTCCCTTGATACAGCAATAACTATAAATCCATTTTTACCTTAAAAAGTGCTGATAAAAAGCGCGTTCGGTTGGAGGAAGCTCCGAGGATGGTTTGTTTGTAGTTGTTGCTAGTTTTATCCGCAGGTCATTTAATTACTGTATTTGTTTGTCTTGGTTTTTGTAGAGTAGAAGAACCAATTTTTTAGCGAATTCCTTAGAGCAGATAAAGCGCACTCCTACAGACATAAGGAGTAGGAACACGCGATTTTGCTATGAAACTAAAGTGAAGCCAGTTTTTAGCAGGTGTTTGTACTCCAAACGACAGGTAAAGCATTGAATTAGCTATACCGCCATTATTTTGGATATCAAAATACCTGAAAAAAAGACGGTTACATTTTCCTATTCCATGTTCCTTCTTCTCCCACTTAGGAACTTACCTACTCTAAGGCGAATTCTAATGCTTTGTCATGTGACTGCAGTGACAATTATTCAGACATTTCTTGAAGAACGGCAATATTTTTTTTAGGAACATCGAAAGCAGAGTTTGAAATTGAATTTCGATGAGACAGCAACAATATTTTTTAATTTCTTAATCCCGCCAATAGCACACAGTACTATGAATAGTAGTCAAGTTGTCTAGCCATGGCGCGAGAGTATGCGATACATTATTTTGGCGCGCAATTGAAAATTCGCTCTGGCCAAACGATATATATTGGGTAAAAACTAATTATTTCAAAAACTTTTGTCATGTTTTGGCATCATTTGCTTCGCTGTATGTATATAAAAAATTTCAAAAATAAAAAAGTTTGTCGATTGGTGAAAATTGTAAGACCTGAAATTGTAATTCCTGGATTTTCCGATTTTGAAAAAAATAAAGGGGAAAACTTCGTGAGGATTGAAGGCACTATTGAAAGCGCTTAAGTGTGTACTTTAATTTAAAAAAAAAATTACTTCGATAACTTGATTGGTTTTGGAGATATGACGGTGGAAACAAAAAAAAACACATTTTATTAAAAATATATTTTTTTTACTTTTTTTGTCATAAAAAAGTCCGAGACCACGGGAAAATGTCTGCACTTTAGATTTCGTATGCCCAGTGACATGCTTAACAAAACCTACCACGTTTGATTTGGTTCTACGCCAATTTTTTTTTTCTCGAAAACTAAGCGACTTTCGGCCACAGATTTACTCGGCTATAATACATTTCAAGGTTTTGAAAGTTCAGCCTACTCTGTATTTTTGGTCCAGTCTTTTCGTATATAACTCCTTTACGCTTTGTTCTTCTAGAGTTCATTCTCTCCAAATTTTCCTATCATACCGTTGCTTCCCCCTTCTGTTCGTCCATTGAGTAGTTTCCTTGGGTGTATTGTATTTGTCCTGTGAAGAAGACTCTAATAGTCTTTACTCTTTAGTACGTTCTACTGTTGTAAAGTAACATACATATTACTGCTAGATTTGTTTTCTGGTGGGTTCTTACGCCGTTCATTTTATATTTGATGTTTCTGGTCTTTGTATTTATAGATTGTTCATAAATCTGGTCATAAAATAGGTTCAATCTTTCTTTTCGGTCATCGACATATATTTAAAATTACTCCGTTAGTGAGGTCGAAGCTCGAACTACACTATGCACTGGATAAGTTTGTAGCCTGTTATTGCATATTGCTTTTATTGTTTTGTTATTACTTTGGTTTCTTTGGATGCAGGAAATCGAAGTAGTTTGCTCAATAACGAATGTAATTTTTCGACTTTCGACTGCATTATATTGTATTAAATTCCGTGCAGTTATAACGAGTTATATGTTGGGGTAGGTCATGATGGCTTAAAAAGTTTGTAATCAACGATACGTCTATTATTGTGAGGAATTTTGCATTACGAATTTGAAATGATATCAATAGAGATTTGTGGATATCTATAGTATTTCGTTTGCTGGCTTATGTCGCAATAATTTATATATTCGGTGAGGTCATTTTTCATATTGGGTCAATGGTATCTATATAATTTTTTTAAGAGGTAATTGGGCTTTATTCACACCTAGATCCTAGATGATATGTTTATGTAATATTTAATTTAATCTTATTGTCTGTCTTTGTTCGTTACACCAGTTTTTTTGACAAAGCAAGTTTTTGTGTCCTTTCTGAATATTTTCGAAAGAATTACAGATATTCCGTCATCATGACCGTCGACCGATATCGGATTTCTTAACGTACAAGCAAAATAATAGTTGCTTATGGGGTTTACTTACGTACCTATTCTTTGAAAAATTTAATAAGCTCTTCTAGGAAATTCTGTGATAGATATAGGTACTATTATTCGTGTTTAATTTCGAAAACCTTGGATTTGATTATATGATATATAGCGTTCGTTTTGTCTATGTATTGAGATTGCTAGATTAACATAATAATTGATATAATTATTTAGGATTAGATTTTCGACGGCTGAAGGCACAGTCTCATTATCACTTCCATTTGGTATTATTGATGGTCTAATCTGAACGTTTGCAATAACAGATTCTTTATTCGCAATTTTGCTGGTTGCTTGACGACTTCATTCTTCAACGTCTTCTGGATTATAAGCCCTCTTCAACTAAATCTAGTTCTTCTATAGTCACATCATGATTTTCAGATATCTGCAGCTATTTATCAATTTTATTATTCATGCTACAGGATTGCATATTATTGATTCATCTTCGGTTAGATTGATTTCTATGCGAGATAAAGCCAAAATCTTTGAGACTTTTTTTTCTTGTAATGTATCGACTTTAGTAGGTAGTAGGGTTGCCAGATTGGAATATCTACAAATCGGGTATACCAATCAAAAAGCTGTTAAAAAATCGGGACATTCAATAAAAATCGGGACACTTTTTTTTTGAAGGAATAATTCAATATTAAGGAAATAAAATGTAACTGAACTATAAAACTTGTAACAAAATTTAAAAATAAAAAATAATGCGATTCATTTAATCCCGGGGAAATAAAGTAAAAATTTAATCCCGGGGATTAAAAGACCCACATTACCCCCTTAAGGACTAAATTATAGACCGACTGATAAGTGTCAGGTTGTTACCTAGCAGGTACTTTCTATTCTTTAGAGCATGGAAAGTACCTGCTAGGTGATAACCTGACACTTATCAGTCCGTGCATAATTTGGCGCTAAAACAGGGATTACAAGGGTATTCTGGGCTGGAACTCTGTAACGAATAGAGATATTTTCTCTATCTCTATCGACGACTCCTCTCTATTGATTTCGACAAGACAGAAAAAGAC